CCTGGTTTTCCCTTTCCTGGCTTCAAGCTCAGCTACAAATTAAAACAGTTTTTGTTCTAGTTTATCCAGCATTGTTATGTGTTTGGATTGGGAAGGACAGAGACCTCTCTCATGCCAGCTCAGTCCTATCAGTGCAGCAGAGTGACCAGAAGTATCAATTCTACATGGTGAGTTCCTGGTAATGCTTTCTTATCACACCCAACATAATGATTAATGACAGAGACTTTAGAACTGGATAGAGCAGGATTTGAATTAGCAGTGGAATATTACTCAAGTTACATAATTGCTCTGAATGAGCATCTTGCTTCATTTATAAATGTGCATAATGACACTCTCACAGGACTTTCCCAAAGAATAAATGAAATCCTAGCACGTGGTGTCAGGTGCCACTCATCTCATTATCTGGCACTTTCTGCATTATGGCTTTCTGCTGTTGTGTCACTGTTGACATCTTGGACGCTGCTAAGGGTATCAAACAATCTTGTTAAGTTTCCTTTGATTCCCTGAAGGGCAAATCTCAGTCTTCAAGACTATTCCATTGTGTACTCATTTGAGAATGCTTTCTCAAATGTGCCATCTGTCGTTTCTTATTTTCCATTGTTGACTCTGTCTAGAACAGAGAGGGTCTCTTTGTACCTAGTGCCTGACAACTGGTAGAGTGTGTGCTCTGCTCTTGGCCATGGCATTGCCCCTTTTCAGATTGAAGTGCTCAATATGCACATTTCTGAGTAGAATTTCTAGACTCTTGCAGGTACTAGACCAGGACAGCTGTTTCATGAGATTGGTTCTCATCATACCCAAATTGTCTCATCTCTAATACTCTGAACCAATACAGCACACACACACACACACACACACACACACACACACACACACATACCACCACCATTACTAGCACAGATGATCTCCTCTCCATTCCCATCTGTAAGTGGTATAATTATTTGAGATTTGAGTAGTGATGTATCCCTCTATTTCCTTACCAAGAGGAATTGTGTGTTGGAGGAATAGGAGAATGGAAGGTAGTAGTAGAGAAATAGCACCACAGTTTTTAGTTGGTATTGACCCCATGTCTCTGAACCAGAGGCAAGATGGTAAGGGGGGAACAGATCAATCATATTTGTTCAGGCTGGAAGGTTTGGTCTGTTTCAAGAGGCAAAACACATATTAACGGTCAGTTGTGATTTGCAGTTCTGCTCCATACATCTCTTTTTGCATTTTGACAATAGGTTCACCAACATTAGTTTTTAGTGTGACATGCATTAATATTTTTCTGCATATCATGTGTATTTAGTTGTGAGAGGCTGTGTCTGGGATCACTAATCCCAAATGTTACTTTTAATTCAAAATGTCTTACAAAATTTGATAATTTTTATCCCAGCTGAAATTTGTATTAAGGCAACAAGAAAATCAAGACAAAAAGATTGAGCATACTTGAACATAACTGGACCCAAAGTAAGTGCCTAATGTCTTTTTGCATTGAATCCAATAATAAACATGGTCCCACATTGCTAGTACCACCATTTCAGAGTCTCTTTCTATGAGACAATGTAGAGAACATCTCAATAAATTGGACCTGGTGCATCGCTCAATTCTTATTGTTCTACACATGTCATACAACTCCTCTTTGGTTCTGGCAAGATGATCTATATTCCACCCTCCACACATGACTAGTCCATTCCGTCATCATGCTTCTGGTCGTTAATTGCTCCATTGTGAACATTTGCTTCCCCTCCCTTTGGTGTCCATGTCTCTAGTCAATTTGCATCTGCCCCACAACACACTTCTCCCAGAAAAAAAAAAAATGCCCCTAATTAACTCATATGCCATCCTGTCTGAGTCCAGCTCCCCTCAGAAGGCATATATTTAGCTTCTGGCACATTAATCTGCCTTCATTATCATGTTCCTCTTAAAAGACAACTTTCTGTAATGTCAGTGTGTTTGCCTGTTCTGATTGTCCTTGACCAGAGCTCATGGAAGACAAGACCTACCTCCTTGCCATGTTCTCTGACTCCTCCTCCTCTTTGGACAGAAATATCTGGTACAGCGCTCTGTACACAATAACAAGGAATATTGTTCACCACCTCGTGTATAGATCAATGATAGTATTGTTTAAAGCTAAGATTACTGAGGAGGTTTTATGCTGGATGCTAATTTATGCTAATGCAAGGAAAATCAAACAAGTTTTATTTGTTGTTGTTGAGGGATTTTTCCCTTTAGCAATTCATTATAATGTGAACCTCATCGCCATCTGGGTATTTGTGGCAATCAGGTGGGAATTCAGAACCTCTTTCCAACCCAAACACTGAAGTGAGGGGAGTCATCAACCTGAATTAATTATCGGCCTGTCAGGAAAAGACTGCAGGGCAAAATTATTATTCTTGAGGCAAGGCAAAATGCAAAACAGATTGGACTTTAAAATTTGGTAATTTCATAGTTAAAATAGTAAAGTAGTACTAATGGTATAAAATGGAAGCTGAAAAATTGGAATACTCTATGAAAACCACTGAAATGGAACAAGAAAGTGTAGTTCTAGTATTAAACTGAGATGAAGGCTACCTGCTCAACTGAATCAACCAACATTATTCGGTTTAGGGGATGCCATTCTCTATTGTGTGACATCATTAATTAATCACAGCAGTACCTTTTTTCCTGTCTTTCCATACAGAGGTTCAGAATTCTTTTCAGGTAGCCACTAGCCATAGATTGAATTTGTTACATGTGATAGTCATTCAGCAAACATTCATGCCCCTCTTCCTCCCTGTATAGGCACAGTATATTTCCCTACCTCACTGATATTGGACTTGGCCCTATGACTTGCTATGACCAATGGGATGTCATAAGAAGAGAGGCCTTAAATGTGCTGGTGTGATTTGGTTCTAGGCTCTTCTGCTCTGGTGTCTACCATGAGAAAAGAATGCCCCAGGTAGCCACTGGCTCTTTAGCCTATGACTCACGACAAATATACATGGAGTACACTTGATCCCAACCTGCAGCCTGAAGCAGAACACATGAATGAATTCTTGTTGTTGTAAGCCACTGAGTTTTAGGGTCCATCTTAGATGTAATTTATTGATAATTCCTGCCCTAAAAACTGGTAGAGCACAAGGAAATGACTAGGATAAAGTAGACCCATCTTTCAGAAGTAATAAGGAGCCAGTATAAAGAAGAAATAGCCATGTTGGAAGCTTGAATCATAGTCTTTTTTAGATTTTTTAGATTTTTGACTAATCTCTCAGTCTAGAGATGAGGACAATGAGCTTGAGAGAAATCAAATGATTTGACAGGCCAGGCATGGTGGCTCGCACCCATAATCCCAGCACTTTGGGAGGCCGAGGCAGGAGGATTGCTTGAGCTCAAGAGTTTGAGACCAGCCTGGACAACAGAGCAAGACCCTGTTTCTACAAAAAATTTAAAAATTAGCCTAGTGTGGTGGCATGCTCCTATAGTCCCAGTTTACTGCCGAGGCAGAAGAATCACTTGAGCCCAGGAGTTGGAGGCTGCAGTGAGCTATGACTGTAACACTGCACTCCAGCCCAGGTGACAGAGCAAGATCCCATCTTTAAAAAAAAAAAAGAGGTTTGACAGAAGAACCAAGGTGTCAGTTGAAGTCTCTTGATCACTACTAATGTACTCTTTTTGTAACAAAACAACAATGATGTGCTACCGGCATTCCGGACCAGAGAGAATTGAGCTGCCAAGCAGTGTCAACAAAAGAAGTGGCGGCCAGCCCCTCCCGGCTGCTGGGCTGCAGATTGCCCTGCGCAGGGTCGCTGGCTTTGTCCCTAGAGAACTCACCTCTGGGAGCTCTGAGGAAGAGCAAACACCCAGTCTGAGGTTCAGGCCATGGCCCAGAAACCTGATGGAGCAAAATTCTGCGAGGCAGGACAGAAATAAAAATGAGAAAGCAAAGCTTCAGCATAAAAAGTCCATCAAATGGTTTCCAGCCACTTTTAGGTTGGAAAATAGTCTGGGTCACCTATTTTTCAGAAAAGAGCCAAGGAAAGGGATGATTTCAGACATTAACACGTCAGCTAAGGTTGACCCAACATTTCAGCAGAGTAAGCTGCTGCCTATGGATGTGATTCCAGAGGCTTTGGGAAGACCATTCCCAGCCTTGTCGGGTTAAAGTGAAACTCCTCTTCTCCTTTGGCTCAGTGCTCACCCAGCACCAAGCAAAATTAGTCTGCAAGTAAGAGTAGTACCGTGCTTCTTAGCACCTATTCAAGTGCATAGCACACAAGAAACACTCAATGAATATTTTTCGAATGAATGAATGGACAAGCACGTAAACGAATGTTAAATACTTATGCTACCACTGATCTGACATAGAGGTTTATATTATAGTTTATTAAAAAAGGAGTCATAACTAAGCAAAAACATAAAAAGTATTGAGGTCAAGTTTAAATTCTGCTAACCTCTCATTCATTCATTTAACAAATATTAATATTCAATGTACAAGCACTGCTATGTACGAGCACTCTGCAATTGGCTGTAGATGGGAATCAAATAGATAGAAGAAGCCCCTGCCCTCAGGAAGCTGATGATAATTTAACCAGAGGAAGAGCTTAAGCACATAATCAAACATACACGAAAATATAAAATTAATAAGAAAAAGAACAGGGAACCATTTGAGAGTGTGAGAAGATGTGCACATTTTACATTAAAGGATCAGAGAAGGTCCCTCAAGCAAACATTCCCTAAAGGTCCCACTGGACATGTATGAACTGGAAAACAAACAGGCATAAAGAAATATCATTATTCACAGAACTCTGCATTTGAAATGCACCAGCTGATTGAGTGACACAGGGGCATGTGCAGTGAGCTGAGGACCTGCTATTTTTTCAGCCAGGCCCTACGACCCCTATTCTCCCCAGGAAGCTCCCCAAACCATTACCCCTTGTAAGCTAAAAGCCAGCAAATTACAACAATCAAACCTTTGAAATCTGATTACATATTACATACATCAGGTTTTTGTAAAATATGTAGACATCCAAACGTACCAAGCAAATAATCTGTATATGAAGACAAAAGATCCACAGCAGCAAATTCTGGGATATTTGGTAATGCTACCTGGTTAACTTTGTCGGTTCTAGTATTCTTCTTGCCAATAACTAGGTTAATTGCCAGCACAGCTTCACTGACCTATAATTAATGCATAAATCAGAATTCATAAAGGTAACCTTTCCATGAGGTAATAATATGAAAAAGTAAATTCATAAAATAATATTCCATATACATTGGAAGAAAAGAATAAAGACAACCTGAAAAAATAATATGTGATCCCTGACATGCAGAATATATCATAGTCAAACAAGTCATTTAGCGTTGACAATTTAATTAATGCATAAGTCATTTTAAATAAGCTACCTCACCTAGCAATGACAGATATTTGCCAAAATGTCAACTATGTACACATGTGTATCTGCCAATATTTTCACAATATTTTCATTAAAGAAAAGCTGAAACAAGCAGAGCGAGTTCTGGCTGATAGAGATTAAAAGCATTACACATATAACGAGTATTTCTAATCTTTTCAAAGAAATATAATTGGCACAAATCCCAAACAAGGTGAAATTCTCCTTTCTCTTTTATAGATACATTGTGTTGTCTTAATGGCTGGTAGGCAGAGAATACAGACACAGCAGTAAAAAGAAAGATTAGACAAAATTCACACCAACCTGTGCGGCAGCTCTTATCGCAATCCAGGCCAATGAACTGTACATTTCAAATTTACTTACTGTTGGTTCTGTAATAGAACTGCTTCTTCTGGGAGGAGGCTAAAAATATGACAAACGTTTTATGATAAAGATACCATAAAGTTTCATGATAAATTTTCTCATCTTCTGAAGATGACATTTTAGTGGAATACTATGTAGTCATTAATAATAATAACGCATCTATTGACATGAAAAGATAGTCAAAATATATTGGGGACAGAAAAGTGGAGGTTACAAAACTGAATGCAAAGCATGATCCCACTCTTCAAAGATACTGTTCACCCATATAGTCCCTGTACATAAAAGCAGGGAAAATCATTGACAGTGGTTATCTCGAGTTTTAAGGATAATTAAATTTTATTATATTTTTCTAACTTTCCATTATGAGCTTGCATTATTTGTGTAATAAATTAATAAAAATGGCATTTTAAGTAAAATTAAATTCCATTTTAGTAGAGAATCTATAAACTGAATATATTGTATGTAACAATGTCATAAAAGAGACTATTACCTAAAGGTTTTTGATAGGTATTTGCTATCATCTTTATAACTACGAAATATTAAAGAGATTATATTATTTATCATAAGGTTCCATAGAATAGCAAAAAGAAATAATGAATGGGGACATTTTTTGCCATAGGTGTGCATGTATATATATTTAGTTTTTAAACATAAGAAAGTCAAGGTTACAGAAATGGACAGAAAGAAACCGCACCAGTGGCATAATATCTGTTGTATATTTTTAAAGATAACTAAAATAAGTGTTAATAGTCTCTCTACAGATTTAAATAATCTGGATAGAGCTAACCATTAAATAGACCCCTTGATACTAATTTTTTGATACCTGTATTTTGACCAATTCTTTAATTTTCAGCAAAATTGCAGAGTAAAACAAACAATAACAAAAATGTCTTTCTTTTACTTTGGCTAGAAGAATACCAAGGAAAAGGAAAGGCAATTTATAATGCTGATGCCAAAGCAATAAGTACGAGACACAACTGGGGCCTAGCCTAGATTAAGTGTTAAGTGTGGGGGAAGATGATATCTAGAGAGATCTGTCTATGGGGAACCTGAGCAATATAGCCCAGTCCCAAGATAAAAAGGCCCTAATCATTAGCTGTAATGGAACTGTTTAGGCTCTGGGGTAGCAATTGCCAGTCTACAGGCTGTATAAGCTCGGGCAATTTACCTACTTAAATTCTGGAAGCAAGACTAACAGGCATGAAATGAAGAATAGAGAATAATATTAAATAACTAGAATGCACGACCAGTGACCCAAATATTTAAAAAAAAAAAAAAGAAAAGAATTTTGAATTGAGCAGAAAGCTTTATTGAGGAGGTCAGGCTTGAGCTCAGAGTAAAAATATTTGGAGTACAGAAAGACTATGGTGGGCATTTTTTAGATGGGAGAGGTGTTCAACATTGCACAGGAGATTCTAGCCCATATAAACAGGAAAGGAAAAGGAGGAAAAAAAGGGAAAAAATGCATTCTAGATTAGAAATGAAGAAGTAAAAGAGTTTTTCTTTACAGAAGACATGATCCTGTATGCAGAAAATCCTAAGAAATAAACATACACACATCCACAAGCACTACTAGAACAAATGTGTTTAGCAAGGTCGCAGAAAACAAAACTCAATGCTCACAAATCAACTGTATTTCTGTACAGTAGCAATAAACAATCCAGGAATGAAAATTTTAAAAATTCCATTAACAATAAAAATAAGCTCAATGAAAAGGCACAAGATTTGCACACTAAAAACAATGTACAAAACATTGTTGAGAGAAATTAACTAAGACCTAAATAAATGAGGAGACAATTCATATTCATGAATTGGAAGACTTAATATTGTTAAGATGGCAACTGTCATCAAATTGATCTATACATTCAGCACAATCCCTACAAAAATCCTTTTTTTTTTGCAGAGATTGATAAGCAGATCCTAAAATGTATATGAAAATGCAAAGGATTCCAAGTAGCCAAAAACATTACAAATAGGAAGAACAAGTTGGAGGACATGCACTTTTCAATTTCAAAATTTACTAGAAACTACAGGAATCAAGACAGTGGATACTTGTAGGAAGATAGACTTAGAGATCCATGAAGCAAGATTGAGGGTCTGGGAATAAACATTTACAATTATAATCAATTAGTTTTCAACAAAAGTACCAAGGCAATCCCTTGAGGAAAGGTTAGTCTTTTCAACAAACAGTACTGGGACAATTGGACATTCACGTTCAAAAACACGAACTTAGATCATTACCTCACACCCTCTAAAAATATTAACTCAAAATAGATCAGAGACTTAAATGTAAAAGTTAAAACTATAAAACTTTAAGAAGAAAACATAGAGGAAAATCTTCAACCTCTGAGATTAGGCAAAGGGTTCTTAGATATGCCACCAAAAACACAATCTATAAAATAAAAAAATGATAAATTGAAATTCATTAAATTAAAAACTTCTGTGCCTTTAAAGACAAGCTACTATGGTAGAAAATATTTGGAAATCATTTATCTGATAAGGAACTTGTGTCTAAAAAATATATGTATTATATTATATATATACACATATACACACATATATAAAAAAAAGAAAAATCTCAAAGCTCAATGATGAAAAAGACGATGACCCAATTTAAAAATGGGCAAAGGATCTGAATAGACATTTCCCCAAAGAAGATATACCAATGACCAATAAACACGTGAAAAGACCTCAGCATCATTAGCCATCAGGGAAATGCAAATCAAAAACACATGAGATATCACTTCATACCCACTAGGATGGCTACTATCAAAAAGATAGATAATAACAAGTGTTAGCAAGGATGTGGAGAAACTGGAACCCTCATATACTGCTGGTAAGAACATAAAATGGTGCAGCCACTTTGGAAAACAATCTGACAGATCATCACAAGGCTAAACATAGAGTTGCCATATGACCTAGGAATTCCACTCTTAGGTACATACCCCAAAAGAACTGAAAACTCCTGTCCACACAAAAACTTATATATGAATGTTCAAAGTAGCATCAATCATAATAGCCAAAAACTAGAAACAATTCAAATGTCCATCAACCGTTGAATGGATAAAGAAAATATGGTCTATCTATATAATGGAATACTATTCAGCAATAAAAAGGGACAAATTACTGTTACATGCTACGACATGGGTGAACTGAACCTGAACAACATTATGCCAGGTGAAAGAAGCAGACACAAAATACTACAAAATGTATGATTCCATTCACATGAAACGTCTGGAAAAGGCAACTCTACAGAGACAGAAAAGAGTTTGGTGGCTGTATGGTACCAGGGGTAGGAACAGGATTGACTACAAATGGGCATAAGGGATCTTTTTGGGGGGATAGAAATGTTCTAAAACTGGATGGTGGTATTAGTTGCACATCTCTATGAATTTACTAAACAGCCACAAATTGGAATCTTAAAATGGGTTAATTTCATGGATGGAAATTATACCTCAGTGAGTCTTTTTTAAATGTATGCATGCTGATCTCTCCCTTTGAACTACTTTTCTCCCACTTATAAACTTGGAAAAGTCCACTTATCCTTCAAAATTCATCTGATCTGTGAAGTCTCCAGCATTCCCCCAAAGCAGAATTAGTCCCTACTTTGTCCCACTTCTCACCTTGACATATCGTGATTACAGTCCTCGTCATGTTGCAGTACAATTATTTTTCCACCTTGATAGACTCTGTGCTTCTTGGGGAAAGAGAGTAAAAAGTACCTGACATACACTAAGCCCTCAATAAATGTTTCATTAATGAGTGAATAAAGGAATGTTCAAGAAATAGTCAATTTAGCTTAACTAACAAATAACTGTTAAATACCTACTATGTACAAAATGCTTCAGAAACAATATAGATGTTTAGCTGAAGTTACATAACGATAGATAATAGTTCCGTTTTTTTAAGTACTGATTATATCCAAGCCCATTATCTTGTCTAATTTTCCTAACCACCCTAAGGAGTAAGTATTAATATCATCACCTCCAATTCACAGATGAGGAAACTAGGCTTACAAAGGCCTGAGTGACACGGCTAGCTACTATGTCATGAAGCTAGGATTCAAACCCAAAGCAGTGCTGTATGGACACTACATAAAAGTGAAACAAAAGCACTTTCTTTTAAGGGTTTAGAATGTATTGTATTAGGACATATTTCAAATGCTTTATTATATTCGAACGGTCTGAATATGTCTGGATGAAAATTTTTTGCAATTTATTTTTGGATGTTTTCTGTACTTCTAGTAATTCTGTGACTTGCTAAAATATTTATACTGTGTCAAGACATACAGAAAATAATGATCATATTATATCAAATTATACTACTCTTTTCATTCAAATCTTAACTTCTTCACACTCTTAATTATAAACACTTCTTTAGTAAAGGCCAAAAAGGTAACACATTATCTTCCCAGCATCCCATTAATTTGTATTGCCACCTGCTACGAAAACAAAGATTTTTTTTCCTCTTACTAGAAATAAACATGTTTATCACACCACAAAAGTAACTTTTCCTAGTTTGTAATTATTTTTATTTAACAAAATAGGTGCTATCCACCTAAGGCAGCTACCATATAAATAATGCAATTGACTGAGAATCTCTTTGCCTAAAGGTTTTAAATTATGTTTACGCTGTATGAAAAATTAAAGATTTGACACCAGCATTTTCTGAAAAGATCTCTTGGTGGGTCAAATGACTATTCAATGAGGATGAAATAGGAAAACCTACTAAAATTTTAAAATAAAAAATAAAATTACTTGGCTCATATATCTTAGACCCACTGGGATTATTCCTGCCTCTAAGACCTCCCCCAGTCCAGACCTTTGGTACTCGAGTGTGGTGCACAGACCAGCAGGCTCAGCACTATGTGGGAGCTCGTCGGAAGTGCCAAACTCAGACCCCATTCCCAACCTGCTGAATCAGAATGCCTAATTCACAAGCTTTTCAGAGATGTTTCTGTACCTTAGTTGGGAATCACTGCATTTCTCTGCAACCCCACAGAGCTCCCTCCTCATCCAGCAAACCCCATCTTGAACACCATCTCTTCCCACTACAATCCCATCAACCCAAGTTATTTCCTAATCCTAAAAGTCATTCCCCCTTTCCCTTTTTCTCCCTCGTTCCCTCCCATCTGGCCCCCTCTGGCTTTCTTCCTTTCCTGGTTTATTGTCTGTTGCCCTCTACTGAAAGGCAAGAACAGGGGCTGAGTTTGCCTCGGACACTGATTTAACACCTTGCTCTGGAACAGTGCTTGGATCATAGTAGGAGCTCAACAGATGTGTGACGAATGAATCAAAAAGTGATCTGTTTATAGGCCATATCAGTGTTGAAAATCTTATTTGTCCATCTGTTTAACCAGTATGTCATTTCCTGCAATGTCCTGATCAATACTAAGGACTCATTGCCACAGAGTATTTACATACACCTACAGTTCATACATAACATTTTAACAGGCAAAAAATGTCTACATGAGATCAATTTCCAGAGCTTTGATATCCAAAGAAGTATCTAAATATAAATGTAACCATAAAGTAATGAATTAATTTCTCCAAGCCACACAGGAAATTCAGCCTCATTATTTCAGTAGCACAGTGTTACCAAAATAGCAAGCTCAAAGGCAATTAACTTATAATTTCTAATAAAATAGGCTATTACCTTAACTGTTAATAGTGATGCTGAAATTTTTTTCCTTGGCTTCATCAGATGAAAATATAATAGGGCCATTTCTAGGTAGGAGTCTCTTATCAACCTAAAATGATATAACGTTGTACTTAGTAAAAATAGCTTCACTGCTCATAATCATTTGCATCATTTGCCAAAAATTTCTGAGCTCATGAAAGGTAAAAATTGGTAAAATCGGCATTTGTCCCAAACTCACACCCTATTTTCATAGCACTTTTGGCCACAGATACTAGCACCTTCCTCCCTACTAAAATTGGAAGCTCTTGAAAAGAGTTGAACATTCTACCTTGTCCTTTGTTGGTAATACTCCATGCCATGACTGCTATGAAGCCCAATATCAAGACCATTCTAGAATATTCCAGCACACAAGGCACTAAAGAAGTGAAGGCCAGAACTGGAGGAACCTATCCTGAAAAATAGGCCTCTCTCTCTACCCTCCTACATTAGTTAAAATGGAAAGAAACACACAGAGTTATGCAATGCAAAAAGCCCTGATTTGGTATGGGTTAGGTCTATGTATTCATACCAAACCTGTTGGTTGGGGGTCAGTGCAGTTGTTACTCTCAATATTGAGGTGATTTTTATACAGAACTAAGTTGGCCAGTCCTGGTGCTGAGGACCAGAGTGAATATCCACACAAATCCCTTCTAGATACAATTCCACATCCCAGGGAGGAACTTCTGGTTTACAAGTCAGTAATCCAGAGGGAAGTCCTACCAATCCTGGGACTGACAGCAGATCTAGATACAGGCCAGAAGTGATTCACAGTCCAGTGCACCATTGGGATGACAGCCGTCATCTACCATTACTGTGAAGGAGGCCTTGGTTCAGGGCCAAGAGCAACAAGCTTGAGAGGCATCCCATGGACTACCCCTGCCATGAACAGGCCTTCCAATCCTTCCAGCCTTGTATAGTCAAAGTTCTACAGAACACGGGGCTCAAACCAAACACACACAGCTTCAACAATGGAAAGATACATTTCTTTACCCTGAGTTTTGATCATTTTTCAAGCTTAGTTGTACAGCTTCATATAAACTCTCAAATTGTAAATTTGGAGATTTATCTTCCATCAGTATTTGACGTTCTATTTTGCCTGGAAAAAGAAAAAGATATACAAAGATGGTTTTTCCTTTTTTTATCATTTAGAACTTAAGAACAAGTATTTCATGCTGGAAATTTGGGAAATCTGATGTGCTGTCCTTTTGTCTGTCTGTCATTTCTTGCAGAAAGGTAAGCTAGTAGAGAAAGATCTATTGCTTCCTTCTCCAGGAATCTCAGGATTCCCCTGCCTTCAGCGGGCCACACTGAGTCAAGACTCCTTTGGCTTTCCTGACACAACTGGTCTTACCATCTTATTTTTCCCTCCATTTCCTTACTTTGTGCTTCCACCTCCTCCTGAATCTCATTCCTTTTTCCTACATTCAGTTTCCTCTTTTCCCTGTCTACTTTACAGACATCATGAAAAACACCTGCACTCCCATGTTTATTGCAGCACTATCCACAATGGCCAAGATACGGAATCAACCTAAGTGCCCTTCGAAGGATGAATGGATAAAGAAAATGTGGTATAGGTATAATGAAATATCATGCAGCCTTAAAAAACAAGAAAATCTTGTCATTTGCAACAACATAGATGAACCCAGAGGACATTATGCGAGGTCAAATAAGCCAGGCACAGAAAGAAAAATATCCCATGATATCACTTAATTGTACAACATTTAAAAAGTCAAACTCATAGAAGTAGAGAGAGAGTCACACGGTGGTTGCCAGAAAGTGGAGGGTGGGAGGACTGGGGAGTGGGGAGATGTTGTTCAAAGGGTGCAAAGTTTCACTTAGACAGGAGGAATAAGTTCTGGGGATCTATGGTATAGCATGGTAATGATAATTAATAATCATATAGTGTACACTTGAAAATTGCTAAGAGTGTAGTTTTTAAATGCCCTCTCTACAAAAAAGTAAAAATATGTGAGGTGACAGATACATTAATTAGCTTGATTTAATCATTCCACATTGTATACATATACCAAAATATCACATTATGCCCCATAAATATATACAATTTTTGTGTCAATTAAAAAAAAAATTTTTTAAAAATTTTAAATTAAAAGAAAGCACAAACTTAAAGGGAGTGGGGGGAAATGCTAAAACATCAGCCAATGCTTGAAAACTCTCCATGGTGATGCAAATGGTCCAGCCCCCACACAGCTCCCAGCCCTCAGGGTGAGCGGCAGCCTTCAACTGTAGGCTCTAGCAGAGCACCTGGGTAGCAAAAAGGGCAGGAAAGGGAAATCTTATAATCACTGTAAAAAGGATCTCAGTGTTCAAGCAGCCTGTGGAAAGGGCACAGGGCTGACCAGTGTCAAATTCACATCTGGGCACTATCATTTAATAGCCGCTGATTTTTGGAAAGTGACTTAACCAGACTACACCTCATTTTCCTAATCTGTCAACTGGGATTAGTCATGCCTACCTTGAAGAGATGTTGTAAATATTAGCAATATGGGATATAAAACATTGACTACAGTGCCTAGTGTGTAATAGATGCTCAGTAAATGAGAGCAATCATCATCATCTTTTTCTCACGGCTAAAATGGCCACAATAAAATTATATGAGGATATTATGCAAATAGGTATTGTATATAAGTTGTAAGTATAAGTATGATATAGCTATTTAATTTCAATGGTATGAATCTCTTGGTTATAGAAATTAACCAAAATGTTTAGCTAAGTAATGAAATGATGTAGCAAAAGTATCTTCCAAGCATTATTTAAGTAATAGCATTTATAGCTAAGTGGCTGATGCTGACCTTTTTTGGTTAAACATGAAACTTTGTATAAGAGAAGGGTCAATTATAATTATAAAAGAAATGAAGTAGTAGTACTTTTTTTCTTTCTATATATAAACTTAAAATATGCAGTGTTCTTTCTAAAACGGAGTTTGGCAGAGATACCAATGTGTTTAGTTATCGCCAAGCCCTTTGCAAAATCAGTAATTTTTATAGTCAGTAACCACATTTTTCAGAAGCCTATTCTCAATAGGAAAAACATTCCACTAATTTTATCATAGTTCTGACCCCAAATGCATCTTACCTTTCTGAAAAAGGATTTCAGCTTCCACCTCATGTTCCTGTATTGCTGCTGTCTTGCAGAGCTTCCTTGCCATTTCAAACAGATGGAGAGCGGGTAACCACCTCGAGGGGTCCTTCCTTTTATGGTTATAAAATACTTGCTTGGCCACTGTATGTCCTAAAAGAAAACAATAAAATATGTAGTGTTCATACCAAGCCTGCGAGTTCCAGATTGCTCTCACAGTAACGACATCTATTAAGGACGCCAGTGGTCTGCACAGTCTTTAGCATCCAAGAAATGTTTTAAAGAGGCACAGTGAACTGCAACAATAACCTTTCAAAACTTTATCTTTTTTAAAATTTCAAAATATTAAGGGGGTACAGATATTTTTGATACATGGCTTAAGCTGGGGCTATAAATGTGTCCATCACCCGAACAGTGTTCATTACACCCATTAGGTGGGTTTTTGCCCTTTCCCTTCTCTCCTCTCCCCCCTGCTTGATATCCAGTGATTTTACTTTCCTCTGTGTACTTGTGTGTCCATTGGCTAGTTCCAGTTTATTAATTTCCAACTTTTTCTTGTTTTTAAAATAAAGGATAGTCTCTCAAGTCTCTTTCAGTTCTAAAATTTCTCAATGCTCTGCAAAACAACTTCCATGCTCCTAAGATGAGGTTGTTAGTAAAGAAACATCTGGAAGTTTTATGTAGTTCCCAATGAAATTTGCATAAATTAATAGGTAGCAATTTTCTTCCTCTTAAGTGAGAGGGGCAGCCTTGCTTAGTTCCTGAGTGAGAAATCTTTCTCCACCCGTGCCGTGAGCACCTGCTGAGCCTTTCCACCCTAACATGAAGCACTACAGCAGTTGCTTACTATGCATTTTTCTTGTCATCCCAACTACACAGCAAACCCATAGGGATGGGGCCACATGCTACGCTTCTTATATGGTCCCACCATCACTTAACATAATGAAGGAATATGGTATGGAAGAGGCATTAGACTTTAACTGTGTGGCCTCAAAGACAGACATTTATTTAATAAATATTTTCTGAGTGTTTAAGCACTGGATAAAAATGAGAAAAGAGAATAATAAGAGCTAAGATTTATTAAACGTTTCCTAGATGCCGGGCACCATCCCAAGTACTTAACATGCGTTATTCACATGATCCACATTCACAACTGAGTGCGGACCATGATTATGCATATTTGACAGAGTAACTTGCCCAAGGTCACATGGCTAGTAAGTAGCAAAGACGTAACTTGAACCTATGCAGTCTAGCTCCAGGGCCTATACCCTATGCAATAATATTGCAACACCGTTTAAGAAGCAGATCACAGAGCTCAGTGTTTAATGGAGAATATGAACAGTCAGACAGGCCATCAAAATGCTATGTGGCCGATCGTGTAGCAGGGAAAACACAAGGCACTGTCACAGCAGATTAAAGGAGCCCCGGCCCAGATCCGGGAAAGGGCAGGGAAACCTTCACAGGGAACGTGGCTGTTTAGGCTGACAGTTGATGACTGCCTTCTCTTTGGGAATTATAAAGAAGAAAAACATTGGCATAAAGAGTAGAAGGTAACTAGGGGAAATACTATACTGATAGGACAGTTGAACACACACAATAAAGATATAAACAGAAAGGGCGTGTAGGATTGCAGAGTACACAGGCTGGGTTCTAGCAGAAGTGCGAGATCCTGGCCAGTCACGGGTGCTGCCACGTAATCTGAGGCTAGGAACAAGCTCCTACAGGCCTCTGGGCCTTGAGTGTCTTACTCTGAAAAATCGAGGCAGCAGAACTAGAAAATAGCAAAGTCCCTTTGGGCTCTGAAATTTTCCAATTCCAGGATGTTATACCCTATAAAGGATTTTTTAAAGACCTAGAACTTTTTGCAAATTTTTAGGTTAGGAATGTGTTATAGAAATGGCAAGATGGGGGAGAACATCTCAGTCTCTCTCTCTCTCTCTCTCTCTGTCTCCCTCGTCTCTCCCTCTCTCTTATCCGGGGAGAAGTTACTGGGCCCTTTCTCTGGACCAGGCTGGATGGTAGCACACTGCCGAGAATATGGAGATGAAGACGCCAAGTACTTGCTTCTGGGAGACTCCCAGGCTTGGCACAGTAAGAATAGCTCACACCTACAAAGCTCTGCCAACAAGCAAGGCACCCTTCGAAACACATTACATATTCTGCTCTCTTAAGCCAACAAGAAGCCAGTGGTGTTGGTACTTATCCACATTTCACAGGGGAGGAAATAGAAACACAGGGTAGTTAAATGACTTGTTCAGGGGAATTGAAAAGAATACTTTCTCCAGAGTCCACACTTTTGACCCCAACAGTTACCAGTTGTGATTAGATCCCAGGCAAGAAGAGAAAGAAAAACATATGCTCATATCATTTGTCCAATACAATCTCACATGTCAATATATCTCCCATTTTTATATATTTCACTTGTTTCAAATTATACTGCAGCTGTTGATTAATATAAGACAAAAATATCAAATATCTTCATGTGATTGTGGCACATACGTATGTATAAACATATATCAGTAGTACTATATATTATTATTAGTGCTATATATAATATATATTACATATTATAATATATGTTAAAATATATACTATATGTACTATATATATAGTATGTAATAAGGTACTAACATATAATAACAGTACTTGAACTGTCTTCTAGATTTTTGTTAAAATTAGAATTGTTACAGAAATTATTGATTATTTACTCTTTCTCCCTAACTAGATAGTAGGCCCTTTGAGGGCAGAGGTGATGACTGGCTCCCTACTATATCCCCACTTCCCATTATTCTTGCACATAAGTGGCCCTCGATGAATGTTTGTTGATTGAATAAGTGTAAAAAATTTCAGTGACTTTCATTCGTTCCTATTACACAATCAGGAATCCACTTTTTCATCTAATAAGGAAGCTCAAGTTTCAGTCATTAATGGAAAAAACAATCTTAAACAATTACGATGCTTATTTTGGTTTTATAAAAATAATCTCCAAATGCCTTTTTCTGTCAGAGGCTTTCACAAAGAAAAAAATGTAAATGGCTCTATTCTTGTGATTCAATTTATACTATAAAGAAAAACTGTCGAGAAAGCATCAAGTCACAGATGATTTTGTGCTTTATAATATTGAAATGCTCCTTTTTCCACTAAATATCAACTCTATGAAAAAGACGTCGTGAAACTGACGTTGTTTTGACAGGAAACCTGCTTTTGGTTTTGTTTTTTTAAGTCTGTATTTAATATAATATACCAGAAAGCAAGCTGTTCAGCTTCAAGCGAGTCTGAAACACAGCAACAGTATTGTCATCGAGCGGTGACAGTCTTCAAGATTAGTAAGTCAGAAAAGCAGAGAATACATTTGGTTTAACACAATCTGTATGATTTAACACAATCTGTACTTTCAGTTCCTGTAGAAATCAAATGTCCTGATAATATAAGAAATTGTGGACTAAAAATACAGGAAAAATAGCTCCTGTGAGATTAGCAAGCTGGAAGGAATTCGAGAAGCCAACTAAGTCAGCCTAACTTCATGAAGTAAGGAAATTTACCAATACAGAGGGGAAGTAATTTACATAAAGTAATAAAATTCATATCTGATGATGATCATAATCATATAATAACAATGATCAGTAATAATAATGAAAGGGAGGAGCAGAAGGCAGATAAGGAGAAGAGTCTGGACAGGCGACAACTTGAGTGTGTCCTTGTTGCCTCCCCTTCCTCAATCCAATCCAACCATCAGCCTCTCCTGAGCTGAGCTCACCTTCTGTGCAGGCCCTAGAAGGTGACGGTAAGAATAAAAACAGCTGGTACGGGATTTTCTGTACTCTGGGCTGGACAAGAGCCTTGGAACCAGAGTCAGGAAGCCTTGGGTCAAAGATGAGAGACAGTATCCTGGAGAGAACTCAAAACAATGTCTGTGAGCTCTGAAGAAAGACAGCTCTGGCTACTTGGCTCCTTGGTTTCTGAGGAGGTGCGAGGGGCCTGAAAATGGGCTGAGTGTTCTCTACTCCTGAAGCTGAACAATGCTGGCCTTTGCTGCTTCTCCTGGTGCCTCAACGGGGAACTGAACTCCTGAAGGCTTGTACAACACCAACCCACAGAGGGAAAACTAGCTACTCTTCACCACCACGTACAGCATTGCCACTGCTGAAATTAATCCAACAGCTGGACCTAAAGCACAATAAGTAGACAAAGTAAAATAGCCCGGCAAAGAAGATCCAGCAGCCAGCAAAAGGAAGAACAAATGTAACCCCCAGAAAAGGTGACAGTAGTAAAATAAAACTGATTGAAGGTGAAATGACAACTTGAATTAAAAAAATAAGAGCATATATAGAAATATAAAGTTTTCAGATAATTTTGGGAAGATGATCAATGCTGAAATCTGAATTGATCAGAAAGACCAAACAGAAGTATCTCAAATCAGAGGTGATAAGAATAAATGGAAATTATAAGGGAAAACATAATAGACTTGGAAGGCAGATCAACACTTGACATACAAATAATAATATTCAACACTTAATAGTGCTTACCATGGTCCAGGCACTGGTATAGGCGTCATTTGACCTTCTCAACAATCCTATGAGGTAAGTGCCATTATTATCCCTTTAATGTTTGTGTCCCTTCAAAATTCATATGTTAAAACCTAACATCCACGGTGATGGTATTAAGAGGTGGGGACTTTGGAAGGTGATTAGGTTGTGAGGGCTCTGCCCTCCTGAATGGAGTTAGTGAACATCCTTATAAAAGAGGCTCGGGAACACCTGTTTGCCCCCTCTGCCATGTGAGGATGCATAGAAGGTGACTTCTATGAAGCACAGCAAGCCCTCAGCAGACACTACATCTGCTGGTAACTTATTTGTGAGCTTCTCATCATCCAGAACAGTGAGCAATAAATTTCTGTTGTTTATAAATTACCCAGTCTAGGGTATTTTGTTATAGTAGCCCAAACAGACTAAGACATCCTCATTTTTAAAATGAGGAAACTGGCCAGGCGCGGTGGCTCACGCCTGTAATCCTAGCACTCTGGGAGGCCGAGGCGGGAGGATTGCTTGAGCTCAGGAGTTCGAGACCAGTCTGAGCAAGAGTGAGACCCCATCTCTACTATAAATAGAAATAAATTAGCCAAACAACTGAAAATAGAAAAAATTAGCTGGGCATGGTGGTGCGTGCCTGTAGTCCCAGCTACTCGGGAGGCTGAGGCAAGGGGATTACTTGAGCCCAGGAGTTTGAGGTTGCTGTGAGCTAGGCTGACTCCATGGCACTCTAGCCAGGGCAACAGAGTGAGACTCTTGTCTCAAAAAAAAAAAAGGCCGGGTGCGGTGGCTCACACCTGTAATCCTAGCTCTCTGGGAGGCCAAGGCGGGCAGATTGTTTGAGCTCAGGAGTTCGAAACCAGCCTGAGCAAGAGCGAGACCCCGTCTCTACCAAAATAGAAAGAAAGTAATTGGACAGCTAAAAATATATAGAAAAAATTAGCCGGGCATGGTGGCGCATGCCTGTAGTCCCAGCTACTTGGGAGGCTGAGGCAGGAGGATCGCTTGAGCCCAGGAGTTTGAGGTTGCTGTGAGCGAGGATGACGCCACGGCACGCTAGCCTGGGCAACACAGTGAGACTCTGTCTCACAAAAAAAAAAAAAAAAAAAATGAGGAAACTAAGGCACAAACAAGGCACATGCTCAGATGTGAAACTAGGCAGGTTGTCTCTAGCTGTACTAGTTAGTAGCTGAAGAAGAAGAAAGAACAGAGAGTGACTAGGCAATCATTAAGCAAGAAGAATTTTTCTCAGAGCTAGAAAGAGATTTGTCTGCAGATTGAAAGGACTCATTGGGTTATAGGCAAGGAAAGAAAAGTCTTATACCCAGACATATGCTAGTAAAATTCCTGAACTACAGAGACAAAAGAAGAAATCTTGCAAGCTTTCAGATAGAAAGAACAAATTCCTTATCGAAAGAAAAGAAAAATTAAACTGACACTGTAGTTCTCATTTGCAACATTCAAAGCTAGAAATGATGGAATAACCTCTATCAAATCCTGAGAGAAAAGGCCACACCCCAAGACTCTGACACTGAGTTGAGACAGCACATCATTCGCCTGTCAGAGTGCAAGAAAGGTATTTGCAGAGAACACAGAATCTGAGAGACTATCATCTGAGGGAAACACTCAAAAAGAAAAATAAAAAAAATTCAATCAACAGCCTGTAAAACAGAACAGAGACTGAAAGACTAAAGACTTTGAAGATGGATAAAAAGGAGGAGGAAGAGGCAGCAGCAGCACTTGCCCAGTGGTGGAATGACTGGGACTGGATGTTAGAAATCATAAATAGAGTTTCTTTAAAAAGGAAAAAAATAGTTCAAAGGAAAAACTTAAAGATATTTTGCATCAAAAAGTACTAAGTGATCTCAGTAAAATCTAGGAGCTGGAGAGAGTAGGAGAGGAGGAGGAAAAACCTGGAAATCTCTATACGGTGAGATTAAAGTAGGAAAGCAAAATTCATCTAAATGTCTCATCTGATTGGGGCAGCCTAGAAGAGAAGCAGGTAAGAGCCTCTTGGTGAGAGGAGATGGTTGGATCTGGGTAGGAGAGGAGGGGGCCACATGTCAGAGTCTGAGGACTGGGGAAGGAAAGGCACTATAAATGTCCAAAATATTAATAGGAAAAAGGTGATAAAAACAACTTGATCAAACTGACAAAGATAAAGAAACTAAAGTAAAATAAGTACTAAAGGCAAAGTAAAATGTAAGGAATAATTACAGCAGTAGTACCACCATGTATTGCATGGCCCCTATGTGCCAGGCACTGTGAAATATGATATATACTTTATCTCATTTAATTATTCCAAATATATAGGGTAAATAGCCCTATCCTCATTTTGACAATAAGGCATTAGACTCTAAGATCTTAGATGACTCACAAGATCAGACAACTAAGAAGTAGTAATGCCAAGATTCAAGCCTGGGCCCTTCAGAGCCCGAGCCCCCATCTAAGCAGCTTGTTCTGCACTCTCCACCCAGCTTTCCTGTTTCTGCTACCTGCGTGTGAGTCTTCTTTCCATACCACTGTCCACTAGTTTATTTTTCTTCAAATATTTGAAAAGGATCTAACACTCACTGAGCACATATCATATGCTCCAGGTGCTCAGTGCTTAATTTTCATTAGATTTTTACCTCGACTAAAGAATATTTCTTAAACCAATTTTTTTTTTTACAAAAGTTACGTCTGTTCATCGTGGAAGATTTAAAGGAAAGAGATAAACAAAAAGAAGAAAATAAACATCATCCATAGTCAACCAGCCAAGGAGAGTCTCTGTGAGCAGTTTGGTATAAATCCTTCTTGTCTTTATTTTCCAGTGGTATCATGATGCAGATAGTATGAGTATTTTGTAATTTTCTGTTTTATACATTTTCCAGTGTAGTGTGAACATCTTTCCATTGTATAAAAATTATTCTGCAACATCATTATCAGTAATTGCATAGAAGTCTACTGGATGAATGAAGTCTGAAAGCACCATGATTGATTGATTGATTGATCTCAAGCACTATGCTGGGTGCGTGGGATATCAGGTGGACAAAACAAAATTGTTGCCTTAAAAGGTTCATATTCTAATGCAGCCTTCAAACAAGTAAACTGTCCTTAACAACCAATGTAATGAGTGTTACGATAAGAATAAGCAATTAGAAGTGGGGCGGAGCATCTCACCCAGCCTTGGGGATCAGGAAAAGCTTCTCAGAGGCTATGATGGTTAACTGAGATGTGAAGGATGAACAGAGTTAAAGGAAGTGTATTCGTAAAGAGGCTGGGGGAGGTGAGAGAAGGATATGAGGGGAGCGGGGTTTCTGGGGTAGATTGTTCCAAACTGAGAAAGTAACACGTGCAAAGGTCCTACAGGGATTCAGGGTGACTGGAGGGCTGGGTGGGAAGGGGGATGGATAGGCCTGGACCACATTGTAGGAAGCCTTTTAAGCAAAAATAAATGGAGAGCGTTTATTTCAGGGACAGACTAGCGAAATAGAATACAGAAAGGTCATGAAAATAGGAACCCAGAGAGGGAGGGAGGGGGAAAACTGGGAGAATGCAGTGCCTGAGAATCCAAAAGTTAGGAGAGCAGAGTCTCAGGAAGTTGTGACTGATTTGCAACAGCAAATGCTGCTGAGGGTCAGAAAATCATACAGTGGAATTGTAAATTAATTCCATGGTGACCTCCTCAAGGGGGATTTCTCTGGTCCAAATCCAGGCTGAAGTGAGATAAGGAGTGAATGGGAGGGGAGAGAGGAGGTGGGGCAGAAGCCCCCTCCTCCCCAGTCCCGCTGGAACTGGAATAGGGTGTTGTTCAGGTGAGAGAGGCTTAGTGTGGGTTTACTTTGTTTGGTGGAGATTTGGAAATATTTACAAACTGAGGAAACAAAGGAAAAGGACATATTGAGTAAGGAGGGAAGAATATATGTGAGAGAGGAAGAAAAGTGCTGAGTGAGTTCCCTGAGAGGGGTGGAAGGAAGGGAGCAGGAGCTGGAGCAAGGCAGAAAAGGCTGGCAGGAAAAGGCTGGCAGCTTTGGCAGCGGGAAGGCTGCTCCCCTGAGATGAGAGTGAGGCCAGTTGTTTTTTGTTCATGAACAGTATGTTAAGCATTTTTTAAGATATAAGTACTTAATAGCATCAATTATAACTTAAAAGACATAATGCATTTTTACAAATTCCTCTCCAAAACCTTCTTTACCAGTTTGTCATAAATTTAAAGCAGCTAGATAGCAATTTAGTGGACAAAAAAAGAGTTTTATTTAAAAAATATACTTGTATTTTGTGTTTATAGGATTTTTTTTTTCAGCAAAGTTGCTGAAATATAGAGTAATTTTAAAGTAGATTATGTGGGTATAATTTCAATCTAAATGATTATCTGGATAAAGTGCAAAAAGAGTTCAGAGCAAGTAGTGGTTACACATGTTATAATTACTGTAATCAACTTCATGCTTTAATTCATACATAAAGACCATCCATACATCACAGAGTCTGGCACATGGTAAGTGATCAAAAACTATTTGTTAAATAAATAAATGGAGCCTGAGTATTCATAAATATTGCACCTTTTAAATGTCCTCATAAGAGAACCTTCCTAAGAACAACTTAAAATTTTTTATCAGTTACTCTAGTGCAATATATGTTTAAATGTTCTTACCAATTCTCATTTTTATTTTGGCCAATAACAGGACATGAGGAAGATAGATATTTTTCAAAGGTTGTGATGGATTTGCATATTCAGTATTTGATAAAGGAAATTCAATTGTTTCTCCCAAATTTAGCATCTATAAAAGAAACATTGCAATGAGCAATTAGTTAACGTGCTTTGGAGCAAGAAAAAAGACAAAAAGTAAGTTTTTAAGTCTTTGTGGACACAAAAGCATTCTCACCTGTTCAATAAGAATGTTGTGAGCTTGAGTCAACAAATTGGATTTTTCTGTTTTTAAAAAGTGAGAGTCCTTGAATTTCTCAGCTTTGGTTAAGTCATCCAGCAAAACTAGACTTCTTGCCAGGGTTAACAAAGATCGAGGAGAAATAAATTCATTTCCTTCAAGCAAATGTATTATAGCCTATGAAAATAAAATTATTCCTTTTTATAGTACAGTTTCCAATTCACTGAAACAAGAGCTGGTATGTTGATTGTTATGCATTCAGTATCTAACGGAATTTAAAATTTTTTCTCCTTTTGTTCTAACTGGGATGCCTCCCTAAATATAAATGTGAATAAAGTTTCCTTCCTACCTGAAGGTTTGTTATGATGTCTGCCTTTAAATGCTTTTCTTGTAGGCTAAGGACTACAGCTTGCATCAAGAATTCAGCCTGTAGCTCTGTGTCATCTGCACTTTTTGCCTCCATACATACTTCATTGATGAGGCTCACACCATCTGTCATATTGTTCTCTAAAATCAACAAATGTGGTTGTTTAAAATGCATCAAGAAAGTGATAAAGTATATATGTGTAATATCCCCAATGTTCATCACAGAAACATTGTACAATATCAAAGAACATGAGGATATTAAGACAGAAAACAAATAGACTCTACACACAACATGGAAAAGAAATTCATTGTACTTTGGGGGAAAGTATTAATACTTTAGGATATCCCAGTGCTATAAAAGTAATAATAATATTACATGAAATAATTTAATTTGGGAGATGGATAGAGATGGGTGAATAGGAAGGTATGCAAATAGGTAATTATGAGTCAATGTAAGAACATTTGTTATGTGTCAAGTTGTGATCTAAGAACTCTATAAATTTAACCCATTTAATTCTGACAATGATCCTGTGAAGTGGGTACAATTATCTCCATTTTACAGAGCAGGAAACTGAGACGCAGGGGGACTAAGAGACTTGGCCAAGAAAGACTTGGCCAGGACATAGCAGATGTAGCATTCACACCCAAGCGGGTAGGCTCTGGAATCTGTGCTCTTCACCCCTACTTTTAGCCACTGTCCCAGAGGACAAGAAGACCTGGGCATTAGTATTTTTAAATCTCCTTGACTGTTTTGCATATACTAGTAACATAATATGCCACTTTCAATGGTACGAAGGACTATTAAATGATTATTTTTATTTAATAAACTGAATTTTTAATTTTAGAAACAGATCAAGCTAGAAAGTGATAAAATGTTAACATTATAATAAGATATATCCCAATAAAGCCCCATTCACCTCTGTAAAATTAATTTTTATGAACACATTGACTAAGAAAATAGGATATTTGTACCTTTCACGATTCCAATGCCACGAATCTGTGCAACAAACGCAGTCACCAGTGCTAAGCGGCACCTCAACCACAGATGAATGTTGAAATATTCTCGGGCATTTAGGGAAATAGGGTCTAAAAACTCATTATCATCTTTATTTTCAGTGTTCTAAACAATATTAAAATGATGGTTATCTTTTCCATTTAGTAATGTCAAAGTTCTAGGCTAAGACTAAATGTAAGTTAAGAAAAGCATCTGGTATCATTTCACAGTATTCAAATTTTAAATTTAGAAATTATTCTTGCACATTCTACAAAACATAAAAAATACACAAACAAATAAATAAAATCATCCACAATCCCACAACCTTCTATTAACATTTTGGCATACTGTTTTAAGCTTTTCTTTTCCCTCTATACCCATTGTTGAAAAATAGTTTAGTAGTCTAAATTTTTCATTGCAAATTCCATTATCAGCTGTCTCCACATCATCAAAAGTTTTTGTAAACATCGTTTTAAGGGCTGAAAGTAATAAATAATATTCACTAATATTTATTTAGTGCTTATTATGTGTCAGACACTATGCTACATCCTTTATATACATTATTTTATTCAGTCATTCTAACAGCCAAGGGGAGTTGTTATTATTTTCATTTCACTGAGACCTAGAAAGGTTAACTATCTTGCTTACACTCCAAGATATTTTGGTAGAAATGGGATTCAAACTTGTCCTGCTGAATTTAGAGTCCAGCGACTTCATCCACAGTATTATATTGCTGTGTGCTGCTCACATTCCAAACATATGTACATCAACTGATTTACCATCCTCGTTATTACACTTTACAAAGGGGTGGTGACTGTCCAGAGCTACTGAGAAGGAGGTGCAAAAGGAGCTTTTTCCAGGGGGAAGTCCACTGTAGACACTTGGGAACTTTAAAATCATGTAGAACAACCCCCGCTCGTTCTAGGAATTTCCTTCTGTGCTTCTCTGACAGCTCATCATGACCATCCAATCAGCAACACCTGCTATCCAGGAGCAGCTAATAGGACTTGAAGGGGCCAGAGTGTGGACAGACAGGTGGGAAGTTCAGGAAGAGAAGGTTGAGCTGTTCCTGGAAACAAGAGCAAGCAGTGTGCAGAGGCCCACAGGCAGGATGGTGATCAGAATGGGCACATCAAGTACTCAAGGAGTCTAGTATTTAGATTAGCAATAGAGAAAAAAATGGCCATCGATATAACTTAATCTTTCAATGCTTACATTTCTTGTTACTAATAAAAAGTCAAATCACACTTAATCAAAATCAGGGTTTCTCAACCTTGGCACTACTGACTGATATTTTGGGCCAGATAATTGTTTTGGGGGGGCTGTCCTATATATTATAGGATGTTTAGCAACATCCCTGGCCTCTACCTAGAAGATTCCAGTAGCATCCCCTCTAGTTGTGACAATGAAAATATCTCTCGAGACTGCCAAATAGCCCCTGAGAGGCAAAATCAACCCTGGTTGACAAGCATTGTTCTAAGTCAGTTTTTAGAATTAGATTGCTTTTTAACACTTTTATTGCTTTTAATAGAAAGGAATGAATCTCTATTTAGGACAATTAGTTTTACTAATTTGTAATAATGCTAGATATTAGCGATTTTATTAGTAATGCGTGAAATAACTAGCAAGGGTTCTATGTGATGAATTTTTATTTTAATCCCAATCAACCCTGTGTTGTTAAATTACTTGATCTTATCAAAGTCCAATCACGGAACCTGTGACACCAATTGTCGATAGATTTGGGAGCTTAGATGGAAGAATCTAACCACTAGGAATCCAAAGCAGGAAACAGCACAGGTGTCTTACAGGCCAGTGCTGAGGCAATAAATTCAAAAGTGGAGTGAAGAGCAAGTCTTGTGAAATAACTTTATTTGCCAGGTAGATCATATCGAGACGACTATACTGACACATCTGATGGCACTTTAGTGATTATTACATCCAATTCCATCAGTTCACAAATGAGATTACAAAATTTTTAAAAGAAAATTTAAGGGCCTTTCCCAAGGTATGCCAGTTAATAAATAGGACTTAAAAACAGATCATTTTACTCTACATTCAATGTTTTTTCTACTTTATCCCTTCGCTTCATATAAATAATTAAACGATGTCCTAGCATGCCAATAGTTATTATACAAGTATTGTAAGGATAAACGTTAAATTCATACATACAGATGTTCCTGGAGAGATGGGATTCTCTGAGTCATCCTGTACTACCTTCTTTTTAAAAAGTTTTGAATCCTGGAGAAGTTGAAGTGTGGAAACTACTATTGCTGCACTGAAATAGAGAATATATTTTAAATGTTATTAGTATTTATGTTATTTCCTAAGTTTCTTTCTCCAAAAAACTTTTCCACATCCCCAACCACCTTCAAACAAGTTAGGTGCCCTTTGTGCATGCCCCAATAGCACCCTGGTCTTAACCATGCACTTGTACTTAGCACACTATTTAGCCGTCTATATACTGCTTTACAGCTAATTTGTCTTATTTCCTATTGAAACCCAGAATCTAGGCTGGGCGGTGGCTCACATCTGTAATCCTAGCACTCTGGAAGGCTGAGGTGGGAGGATAGCTTGAGCCCAGGAGTTGGAGACCAGCCTGAGCAAGACTGAGACGTCGCCCTGCTAAAAATGGAAAAAATTAGCTGGGTGTGGTGGCTCTCGCCTGTAGTCCCAGCTACTTGGGAGGCTGAGGCAGGAGGATTGCTTGAGCCCAGAAGTTTGAGGTTGCAGTGAGCTATGATGACACCACTTCACTCTAGCTGAGACAACAGAGCAAGACTTTGTCTCAAAAAAAAAAAAAAAAAAAAGAAAGAAAGTAAAAAGAAGCCCAGCATCTAGTATAGTGAGTGGAACATAATAGAAACAAACAAAAAAATATTTTTAAATGAAAATGAGCAAATAGAAGAATAAATGAATGAATGTTTTCAAGATCTAAACAAAACTTATTGACAATCTCATTAATAAAATGAACATACATGTATTTTCTATACATCAGAATGTGGATTTCCAGCTTTTTGAGGTCATAGAACTGTGTTATTGCTATTCACTTAGAAACTCTCAAGCTAAATTATTACTTAATCATTGTACTACATTAAGAAAACAGAGGCCAGGAGATAGGAATTTTCTTTATTTTCTGTTGCTCTATACACAAAATTTGTATGCACTTTGAACCATTATATCCTCCTCCCCTGTAGAAAGATAAATCTATAATTGACATCACATTTCTTCCAAATATTTTAATGATATATATTAAGAGCTGCCTTCTTTTGAAAATCTATTCCAAAACAAAATTCAGAATACAGAACAACCTGTATACCTGAAGATGCCCATCATAATGTTGCTTACAGCACAAAAAAATTGGTTGAAAGCCAGATGGACAATATACCCATCTCACTCCCACTTGATATCTCCACTTGTATAGATAATAGTCACATTTTATGGGTGTTAGGAGTTGCATTTTTTACCCCCCTCCACCAAAAAAAAAAATATGTTGAAGTCTTAACCCCCATACCTCGAAATGCAATCTTATTTGAGAATAGGTTCTTTACACAGGAAATGAAGTTAAACTAAAGTCATTATCATGGGCCCTAATCCAATATGACAGACTGGTATCTCTATAAAAATAAGAAATGTGGACAGAGACAGACATGCAGGGAGGGAGGATGAGGTGAAGACACACAGGCAGAAGACGGCCTTGATTACGTAAAGGAGTGATGCATCTGCAAGCCGAGGAACACCAAGGATCGCTGGCAAACACCAGAAGCTAGAAGAGGCAAGGAAGGATTCTCCCCTAGAGCCATCAGAGCAAGCACAGCTCTGCCAACACCTTGATTTCGGACTTCTGGCCTCCAGAACTGTGAGACAATAAAATTCTGTTGCTTTTAGGCACCCAGTTTTTGGTAGTTTGCTACGGCAGCCCTAGCAGATGAGTGACAATAGGTGAAAAGCAGACCCTTGCTTTCACCACCTCCACCCAAACCTGCTCCTCATCCATGTCCTCCACCCCAGACACAGAACTCAGCAGTTGCCATTGTTTCCTCTCTCCGACTTGCACTGCATGGCCAATCCATCAGCTTCGCTTTCAAAATACAGGTCCTCATCCCTCCACTGCTAGAACCTTTATCCAAGCCGCTATCATCTCCAGGCTGGACAAAGCAGTAGCTTCCTACCCAGTCTCCTCCATGGCTCTTGCCCCTGCAGTCCTGGTCCCCACATAGCAGCCACAGTGATCTTTTCAAGATGTAAAGGAGATTTACACGTTCCAGAGGCCTCCCATGTCCCTGGACGATGGTCAGTGAACCACCTGCTTTGGGTCAGTTACTGCGGTTTCTGGCCCTAGTATATGATCAGCTTCATCAGTGTCCATGGATGCCTGTAAGAAGGTCTCGTCTATGTTTGCAGGCTCCCAGAGTGTGTATATATGCTCATTGTTTAAATTATATTTTTAAAGCCCCCCCTTTTTTGGTGAATGTGTTGTATTAATATTAAAAACTGAAAGTATGGTGCTAACATTAGCCACAGAAATTTTCTCCTTTTCCCCCCAACAATCTTTTTTTTAAAAAAATCATAATAGCTGGTATTTACTGAGTATTTACCACCTGTCAGATGCTACGTTAAGTGCTTTCTGTGAATTAATTCATTTATTCCCCACCATAAATCTACAAGGCAGATACAAGTTGAGCATCCCCTATCCAAAAATCAAAAATGTTTCAAAATCCGAAACTTTTTGAGCACCAACATGACGCTCAAGGAAATGCTCATTGGAGTGTTCTGAGTTTTGAATTTTGGGATTTGGGATGCTCAACCTGGATAATACATATATTCCAAAATCTGAAAAGAAATCCAAATATGAAACATTTCTGGTTGCAAGCATTTCAGATAAGGGATACTCAATCTGTACTATCATCATCCCTATTTTCCAGATCTGAAAATGGAGACACAGAAATGTCAAATAACTTGCCCTCAAGTCACACAGCCAGAAAGAGGAGCCAGGAGCAGAACCCAGGCAATCAGCCCTGAGCCTGCTCTCTCTCTCTCAACCATTATGCTATGATGCCATCTCTGTATTTTCACACTTCTAACGAGTTTGGTTTTATTGATATTGGTATGGTGTTAGCACCATATTCACAATCGCTGTATAGTCACTGTTGACTGTACCTTTTATTAACATAAAAGGTACTTTGTGTATGATTCAATGCCCTTTGCCTTGCATTCTACTTAGAATGATAGTAATATTGTCACCCTTACTTTATTGCTTTACCTTTTATTAATATCTTTGATCATTCTTTTATTTTTAAAAATGTCTAGAACATTTTGACAGCGACTTATGATACAATTTTATATTTATTACTTTGAGTAGCATTCCTCTACTGTTCTTCTGAGAAAAGCACAAAACATTCCCATCCTTCTGGGATACTATTTTCCTTCCTCTGTCTCTCCCCCTCGTCCCCATAGTTCTTAGTGGGGCTTCCATGTTCTTTCGTGACTCTGCCTCCTTGGCCGTGGTGCTTGGGTCCAGGAGTGGGTACATGAACCAAGTTGAGCCAACCAGAGCACTTCTTCAATATCTGAACCTGGGGCGAGACACAGTCTCAATCTCTCTCTGTGTCAACTGGTGGCATTAGGAGCCTTGATCTAGTGGCAGAGATGTGCTCAGCCCTGTAGAGGAAGCCAATTAGATCAAATAAAGCCAACACATAGTCTGAAAGAGATAAGATGGAATGAGAAAAATCCCAGGAACACCCAAAACTCTGATCTCAGTAAACCCTCACCCATCCTTACTTCTATCTTCTTCTGCCTTATAGTCATATGAATCAGAAAATTTCCCCTTTTGCCTGTGTTGGTTCAAGTTAGGATATGTCACTTGCAATTAAAAATACCCTATCAAATCCAGGGAACTTTGACAATTTTACATTTATTGCCATTATAAACATGCCTTGTTTTCTTCTAGTATTTTATGCTTTCTAGGTTTATTATTTTTCCTTTGTTTTGTGTCTTTTGCTATGGAACTATTTGCTTTTATTTTCCACATTGATTTGAAAAATATATATTCTGGTATGTGTTTATATGTATATATATATTGTTTGGGGTTATTTTTAATATTTTCCAAAACACAATTCCCCATTAACTCATCTTAAAAACATAATTTTTCTCTATTTCTCAAAGTATGAAATGAAACAATGTATTTTGGTTCCCCAAATACAAGATAAAGAATTTAGTACTCTTTCATTGCCTTATCTCTCCCATATCCATTTATTATAATGTGATATATCATCCCTGAGTAATTATTAATTATATTTATGGTCTGTCAGCTTCTTCGGAAATCAGTTTTGACATTTGCAAACTTATCATTATTTAGACTGTGCACAAACCAGCTCTGATGCTCAAAACTAGTTATTTTTATAGAACAAATTCCCCATTCGTGAGTTCTTAATTATGAGATTTATCTCTTTTGTTGGCTGGAGTAGTTCTTCAAGTTCCCATACAGTGTTGAGGCACCTGCCCAGGTGTTTGGATAATGAACCCATTCTGAGTATGCGCTGAAAGAACGTTAAGGGCCAAGTCTTCTTCCTACTTCTTCCCTGGCCAGGATTTTTGCTCCTTTCAGGGGATAAAGTGGATATAGATTATCCCTTGTGGTTATTAGTCTATCTTTATCTGTGAGTACTATTTAAAAAAAAAAATCCCACCTCTTGCAGAAGTTTATTATCCCTAGTTTTCAGTACTATTAAGGTTTTTGCATTTTTCTGTCTTCATGTTTCCTCATATATTTCAATGGGAAGTTGGAAGAAAAACTATCAGGAAATGTTATTCTGATAATATTTTCAGGTGGAAATTGGTACTTCATTCATTGTTTTAACTTCATTTTGTAAGAGGATGATGTTTTTCCATGTGTTTATATTCTAGTTATAACTTCATCTTTTGTATGAAGGGTTTATGGTATTTGATCATTTACCAATAGTGTCTTTTTATCAATTTGTCAGCAACTTTATGTAAAATTGATATGAACTATTTGTCATATTTAATGCAAGTACAATCTTGTTTTCCTGGGTATTGTAGTTGTAAGGGCTTTTTTTGGTTATACTTACAAAAATTAAAATTTTTTACAGATTAAATAGGCTGACATTTTTCTTCGTAGTCAGTTCTAATTTTTTTTTTTATTTCAGGGTATTATGAGGGTACAAACATTATGGTTACACTTTATGTCTTTGCCTCACCCAAACGAGGGTTAAAGGCATGCCCTTCCCCCTACAATGCTCCCCATGTCCTTTAGTT